CATGGTATGTACTTTTATTATCAATTTTTTTTAATTTTTTTTATGCATACTTTTTTTATATAATTTTTTTATTGAAGGCAGTTTTTTGGTGAAAATTTTTGGCATAACTTAATTTCCTTTAGACCTACAACTTTTGGCTGCGCTGAGCTGCACCTGAGGTATATGGTTTTTGAATAAGGAGTATGTCCTTATTAAGAGCTATAAGTTTCATTTGCATCTTGCTGCCTCTTCTTGGCTTAAAGGGGTGTCAAAGTATGCATGTCCATAGTATTGAATTTTTAATTTTTTTTTAAGTTCAGCTTTCATATTGTTTTAGGTACATTTTTCAAATGTTCTGTATCGAGGATGACAATTTTTGATATTTGGCACTCTAAAGTGGGTAATCCAAATGAAAAAATGCAACACGTCCTGAGCACTTTGACCGAAACATCATCCCTTTCTGACGACATCGAAAATATTGATTTAGAGACTTTAAGCCTTAAAATTAAGAATATTTGTAAACGAATTTCCCACTACTGGGCAAAGTCGAATCGTACTAGATCTAAATTCTTAGAAAAATATTCAGATTGGCTGCATGTCGTTGAAAATATTGATGTACAGCGAACTGAGTTACGTGTATCTCAGAGCTTTGACGAAGTTAAACCATCAACTTCTTCATCGCATGGCCGTCCGAGAATTAACTTTGACGACACCAGTAAACGTACAAAAAGGAGAAGATTGGCTAGTTTGTCTAACCAAGACCCTTCTCTTGTACAGTCATTGCTCAATGCGTCCGATAGCTTGTCTTGTCCTGAAATCGATTCTAGCGAAGTTTTATCGCTCATTGTTGAAGCTCAGTTAACTCGACATCAATATATATTAGTAAAGAAATTTATAGACAATAAGTTTTCAAAAACCATTTTCCCATCTTACCAAAGTGTCGTGGAATCTAAAAAACACTGTTATCCTTCAGATATTACTGTTACAGAATCATCCGCCGAAGTCGAACTTCAAAGTTTATTAGATCATACTGCCAATCGGATTCTCAAGTCTCAAAAAGATGTTTTGGATAGTGTACCTAATGAGTCTCTAGATAAGATATCTTTGATAGGGAAATGGGGTTTCGATGGCAGTACAGGGCATTCAGAATATAAACAGTGTTTTTCTGACTCCACTCTTGAAGACAGTAGCCTGTTTGTTACTTCGTATGTGCCACTTCAGCTTGTTTTGACAACAGATAACAAAGAAAATTCAGTAGTTTTGTGGAAAAATCCTCGTCCTTCATCAACTCGATACTGTCGTCCTATACGCCTCCGATATTTGAAGGAATCGACTGCAGTGTCAGTTGAGGAAGAAGCTCATTTTAAAGATAAAATAAGGAACTTGCAGCCTACTGTTTTCAAGGAAGAAGATCGCGAATATCGCATTACTCATTGTTTGCAACTTACTATGGTAGATGGTAAAGTGTGTAATGCACTTAGTGGTGTTTCTTCATCAAAATGTTTTATTTGTAACGCCTTGCCCAGTGAAATGAACAAAATTGACGAATGTTTAAATAAGGAAGTCGATGAGAGTAAATATGAATTTGGTTTATCACCTCTTCACGCGTTAATACGTTTTTTTGAATATTTTGTTCATGTCGCGTACAAGTTAGATGTTAGGAAATGGCAAGCTAGGTCCGCTAATGACAAAATGCTTGTTGCTGCAAAAAAATCATATGTTCAGACTCAATTTAGAGAAAGATTAGGGCTTATAGTGGATAAGCCTAAAAGTGGCGGAAGCGGAACATCAAACGATGGTAATACAGCCAGGCGGTTTTTCTCGAATTCAGAAATTTCCGCTGAAATTACTGGGATCAAGAAGGATCTCCTAGATCGTTGCTGGATCATCCTTCAATGTTTAAATTCGGGATATAATATTAATAAGACGAACTTCGAAGAGTTCGCTTTAGAGACGGCTCGGCAGTTAGTTGCCGAGTATCCGTGGTATAACATGCCTGCTTCCGTTCACAAAGTTCTAATTCATGGTGCTAATGTTATAGATTACGGTTTGTTGTCAATCGGAGAGTTGTCTGAAGAAGCAGCTGAAGCGACTAACAAATACATCAAGTCTTTTAGAAAAAATCATACGCGTAAAATGAGTCGCATTGTGACCAACACAGATTTAGTAAATAGGCTGCTTCTTCATTCAGATCCCTTCATAACAGGTCTACGAAAGTTACCTGTTAAAAAAAAAGGTGTACTGTCAAAAGCTGTATTAGACTTGTTATGTATTTAAAGTTAATATTGTTGAGATTTAATGTATTTTGGTATAATTTGTGTTTTGTTTGTATTTTGTAAAATGAACTTTTTTATGTATTTTTATTGTTTTAATTTATTCATTTGTGGTTATTGTTAATACAAATAATCATTATTTACACAGTTTTACCATTAAAAGTCGCAGTATAAAATGTTTTAGATACATCGTCTAAAAACAAAATTACTGCGAGACATTTTTACACCTAAATATTGTCAAATATTTTTTTAAATGTATAATTTTATTAATTTACGTTTACCTAATCATATTTTAACGTAATAAAATAAAAAAATAATAATAATTTCGGAGTTACGTATTTATGACCGCCTTAGTATGGAGCGTGAATCACCGTGCGACGTTTCAATAGATTTGTGACAAAATAAAATTTTCGTAAGTTTTAAAAATTCGGTTGGAATTGACTAAATAAATATTCGCTTAAAATATTCATGTTTAGATAAATATACATATACATAATACCAATAAAAACATTTAGAAAACATATCCATAAAATTTTGAACACGACTAAAAATCTTTGAAATAGTTTTGTTTGCACAAATAAAATAAAAATTGGAAAATGAAATGCACTAGTGCGTATCCGCACATGTTATTCGCTTGCTAACCAAACTGACGCAATTTTAGTGCTTAAAGAACACTGTTTCTACTTTTTTCTTGCGTAGACGTTTTAGTTCGCATTGCCAGTTACTACACATTTTTTTATTATTTTCTTTTATGTTCTCATAGCAGTGCTAATGAAAGATTATGTAGTTTGCTTTCTCATTATTCACGGACATCTATAACTAAATAAATATATAATAAAAATAACGTACATTTCCTCTCACAGTGCTGGTAATGTAAGTTACATTACAAATTTATGTACGGGTAACATTGTAACAGGGGTAATTAATGTACGGCTTTGAACCAAGAGATGTCTTCTATTGAAAAAGTTTGTACTTCCTTTATAACTTCAAGTAGATCTTCTTTTTCGGTATTTGCAAATATTTGAGGCGCCAGCAATTTGAACATATTAATCAACAAAAATTGGTACCTTTATGAGTAGCTGTCCGGAGCGAGTGTGCGGGTTCTTGAACGCATAGAGAGCCCAAGCGCCTGCGCTGCAAATGAGTGCGACGGCAACGAACGCCGCGACCACTCCGCCGACCGGCGAGTGTGCGGAGACCACGGGCATCTGCGCCGGCGCCTCCCCAGACGCCTTCATCGACGTCTTGTCGTTCGACACATTAGGCAGCTGTGGCGTCTGTGGTACTGTCACTTGCTCTGCGATATTAAAACCCAAGTTTGTTTTATTTCATTACGTAAATGAAATACATATGATTTAATCTGAACTCAATCCCCTGGGCGGAACAATAAACTCGAAGGGCTATTCCTATTTAAGGTTATGTTTAAAAAACTTGCCTTTTAAATTATGTTTGTAAAAATATGTTCATATCAATAGCATCACCAACTACCCGAATTTATATATTTAAGTAAAGTGCCACCGTAGTGTTACTTGACGAATATTATTGTCGAAGAGACTAACTGTTCTTAACAACGGTCTCGTGCGGACTGTGTTCACCCTCAGTGATGTAGGCAGTGTTCGTCGGATCCGTATTGGCCGGCTTGGGCGGCGCATGCGCTTGGCACAGCGCTGCCGTCTCGTTGGTGATCGATGACTTCTCGCAATCTATGCCACAAAGGATAAATGTAAGATATAAAAATTACGATTAATAACAATGGATTAGTGCAAAAGATTAAGTAGGTAAAAATATTTTTTGGAAGTTTCCAATACTAAACAACTTACAGGCAGCCGCTGGTACTTGTAAAGGTACCTAGCAGAGTGAAGAAAAACTTTCATAGATTTCTCACAGACGGCGCTACGGCAAAAAAGTTGTTAAAAACCAAAAATAGTAATTATAATAAACAACTTGTCAACGCAGCAATAACATTCTTATGTACTTACTTCTTAGCGTCCAGTCCTGTTTGTTCCGGTCGGTGCCACTTGAGCACTTGCGTATCGCCTCGCACCAAGTGCACTGCGAAAACGCAAAACTTTCAAACACAACTGAATTAAATTATAAACAACACACGCTACCGCATGGTGAATTCATTATTGGAACACACCAGTCTCGAGGTAAATAAAGATCTAACAACGACAGAAGGAACTATACGACATCTAACCCTGTATTAATAAATCCATTACGACGACTCCAAGGTCGATATTAAGAAGTTATTTAATTCAACGGTTTTTATTACTACACTATGTTTTGAGTAATTATTAAGTAAAAGTATAGTTCAACAAGCAAAAGGTTTGCTGCCAGCTGATAAGCGGGTAATGATAGTAGACGGTTTATATTATATGTCTATTGGATATTGTTAAATAAAAATGTAAAAAAACTGTACAACAATAACTAATTTTGACTTTTTTTTTTCAAATATTAGGTGACAGGCCAGACGTGCGTCTGGTGGTAAACGACACGTCTGTCCACAACAGTTGCATTACCACTCAGAGTTATAAGTCACAGAGATCTGAGATCGCCCGTCACCTTGAGACATAAGTTGACATATCCCATGCGGCTGAAATTTCACCAACAGCCTTATAATAAAATTTAAATTTTAAAAATCCCCGATAAAAATGTATGCGATAAGTCACCATCCGTAAGCCATCTACTCGCCAATAGCAATTCAATGATCCCATACAATATTGTTCAGTGCCTGCAGAATGTCCGGGACGCAGCATCAGATCAAAGGTGGCATATTATAATGTCATAACATATCAATATTCAAGTCGATTATATAAACGGAAGTAAAAGAAATATATTCAGTTAATGACTGAGATCCCTACAGTAAATGGGAAAAGGGCTGAAGCTGAACATATTATGAAATGAAGCAATTTTATTTCAGACAGTTACAAGTCCATATGGTGTGGTAGTAGGTACTTACAACTATGTTAGTAGAAAGCAAAGTGTTCATTTTCATGAATAGGGATGGACATCCAATACTTAAGGATTGGGATGTCCATCCTCTCTGCTACCACCTTAAGAAGACTGTTGGTGCTGCCCCTCACTCTGGCCAACAGGTATGCCACTCTCTTGCGAACGACTGCTGAAATCTATAAATCTAGCCGCTGCGAACATTCCTGAGGCACTACAGTGTAGTTGTTCCACAGGTTGCATGTGTATAAGGTCTGGCAATATGTTTTGAAAAGGGTGATTTTAAATATATTATGTTCATCAAACATAATTAAGAACCATTTCGATAAATTAGCCTTCAAATAAAAATAAAAAATGCTATAAGTTCAGTCCAGCCTTTTGGGATCTACGGTGCCAGACAAGACATACAGTTACACAGACATAAGGTTCAAATCAGTGATCGGAATAAAGGGAGTTAATTTAGCTAAACTAAAGAATAACCGTGGACACAGGATATTCTTCCCTTCTACAAATCTCGGGATTTCTTAGAAGCGATTATATTTATATATGCGTACTATTTATTGAAATTTGAGTTCATTGGCGACAATTATTACCTTATGAAGTATTTGCAACAAATTATTGTGTCAAAAAATAAATATTGTAGTTTTGTTTCTATAGGTACTTACGTACTTAAATACTTTACCTACGCAACCTATGTTTTGGACTGCTTAGAAAATAAACATTGACGACGAAATGGGTACGTCCATACTAAAAAAACGTTCATACTTTAGGTAGATTAACTCCTTCAATTCCGATCATTGCTTATAACTCCCCTCTTTTTGCGTCGGGGGTTAAAAGTAGACTTCATAGTGGAAGAATAGATAGTGCCTTTGTACTTCACGAATTGATTTCGATGCCAGTGGCTCAACTACCAAAATAAGAAGAAAGCAGGCAAAAATGTAATTATTAATTATTACAACGTCATTATATTTATTTACGTTAACAACGCGTTTCTACAACACTTTAACTTTTCATAATAATATATTAATTAATTGCGATGCACGCCGCCATGCTCAAAAGAAAAAGGTTCTTTTTGTATTTTTTTTTTTCAATAAGTCGCGCGCGTAATTTTGAGGATTGCAGACGTATTTCGACTAGGCTGTCACTATGACGAATTTTAGTGCAAGTACCTGTTCATGTAAAATGATGATAAGTAAGCTTGCTTTGCCTTTTACAAAATAAGGTGATGTCTTAGACGAAGTATCGTTTTCGTGCTAAGTCGTTTCAGAATGAAGATGTCGAAAAGGCGTCAATTTTTTAATTCGTTGCTGCTGAGAGCGGAAGAAAAATAAACAGAAAAGGAGGTAACAAATTCGAACAGGAAGTTCGTCGTTCAAACGCTCAAGGACCACGAATTATATGCCGATAATTTGCAGTGTGCCTGTTACGCACGGACATAAGCAACGATTATCTGAAGTCAATTACAGTAATTGACTTGAGGTAATTTACGTTAGCTCAATACGGAATCATGTGTCGCATGACAGGCAGGATTTTTTGTATTTGACATGATGATGATGATGATGATGATGTGTTATATGACAGAGGGTTAAGATACAGCTAAATCTTTTATTTGAACCGAACCTATGGAAGACACATTTCAAGATTTTTCCCAGCACGAGTGTTCTTGACTTCCCGCAACTCCGATAGGAGTACTTACATTGAACCCGGTATTGTGGTTGACACACGACTCGCACGTGTCGTATGGCAGGCAGGTTGGCAGCGCCGTAAGCCACAGGATCGTGTTGTTCGTGATCTCGTAGTCCTTGAACGAGACGCGGTGATATTCGTAGATCGTCTTCCGGCGTATCACTGCCAACGACGTCACAGTGTATTTATAGCACATGTACAAATGACAGAATTACACACATATTATTATGTTACTTATAGGTTAACTAACATAATAATAATAGTAATAACGCACACGCTCAACCGGGTTTCCCGGGGCTATCCCCGGGAAACCCTGTGTCGCGGGTGCCATGGACACACACATAGACAACCATAAATTAAACCCAAATTCACGAGAGAAATAAATGTAGGAATTGATTAATATTACATTACATTACATTCTACTTTTCACAACACAATAAAATTCGCGCGAAGAAAATACGATTTGTTTATTTAACAAATAAAAGTGGCAACAGCGCGGGGGGCGGAGTGCAGAATTATTTAGTCGTCGCTTCGGCATGCACGGCACGGCAATTTTGCTAATTTTTTCATATTAATCTTTTGTTTCAAGTGCCCCGCCGTAAAGCAATTTCTCTTTCGCACTCATTAAATTCAATGTTGAACTTTGTAAACAACTTCGGTTCACAGGAGCGCATCGCGGAGCGCTCCACTCAAGGGTTAGTAACGCTATACTACATATGTATATTAGAGAAAGACAAAAATGTAATTGTATGTTTGTCGTTACTAATATAAAGAAAATACTCCTTAATCAATAATTTTATTTTGGTGGGTTGGATAGGAGTAGGAGTTCACTACACCAAAGCTCCTTAAAAAAAACCGCCTCTGGTTAGCAACCACTTAAATATAAACTTAATAATAATAATAATAGGCAGTGGGTGCAAAATAATAATAATAATAATGAAAATTACATATTACACACGTGTTTAATACTTACGGAAATGTATCCTGTCGGCCAGATAAGCATCGCTTATGCCCACCTTGACGGGGTGTTCGCTGTCGTTTATGTCTTGCACGCTGATGGGCACCGAGCGATACGCGAACACGATATCGCCATTCTTGTGTAGCGTCACAGCAAACGTGAATTTCTTGTCCTTGTTCTCTTGGAGGGTCACGTTCTCCCAAAATGCCGTGAACTTTTCGCCTAAATCACGCGCAAAATAAGAAAAATAAATGAGTTTTGAATCGTTCATTTCGTCCACACGATACATTATAATAATGATAATAATGTCACAACCACAGAAATGACCTGGTCTCAAACCAATTTCCTTAGTTTGAGACCAGGCAACTGTTGTGGTTGCGCTATGAGTACCAGAGCAAGGGAATTCTCTCTGGGGCACTTCCCAGAACACCCAGATCAGAACTAATTTAGAAAACTTCATTTCCCAAATTGGTCCTACGGGGTAATCGAACCAGCGACCTCCTCGTGGCCCAACCACTGAGGTCATAATATTAACGATAATAATGATTACAAAATAAAGTAGTATAACTAAAATATATTGTCAAAAGACAACGACGTGAAATTAAAATAAAATTACGTTTCTTTGACGAGCTCTGTGGTCGAGTGGCAGGCACACCGGTTTTCATGGTGTTGCCATCTCTGAGGTCCCAGGTTCGATCCCCGGCCGGATCAATGTAGAAACTAACTTTTCAATACTGTTTCGGGTGTAGGTGTTGGTGGTACCGTCGTTGTTTTCGATTTCCATAACACACGTGCTTTAATTACCTAATTTGGCTCAGAGCAGTGTATGTGTAAATATTAGACAACATTGTCTAATATTTATTTATTCAAAAGAAATTCCTCTACAAAGTTCATTATTCAATAAAAGGAGAATTTGTGGGAAATAAAATATTTCGTCGTTTGTAACACCTTAGATTTGCGGATTGGTGTTCACAGAATCGGAGACCTCATTACTCGCGAGCTTCTGTTCGCGAGTTTGGTACGATGGGTACGAATTTTATTTTCCCCGCATTTCGCAACATTACATTTGTACGTAATGGCGGACACACATCGCACATGACAACTAACATAGTATTATCTCAAAATTGCTTTAAGTTGTATTAACATTACCCATTTAACTTCAAAGAAACAGTGTGGTCCTGTCACTACGAAATTAAATCGAATACTAATGAAATACAAATATAGCGAAATTTTGGAGATAAATTATTAATACATAGGAATTTTGAGATAAAATATAATATAACGCAATTTTTGAGATAATACTTTATTAGTTGTCAAGCGCGACATATGCATGAAACCAAACCATGCAACTTTAACACTGCTTTCGAACATGCGTAAACGCTAACTACAAGTGTATTTTACTAACCATGCATTCATCCAATGATCTAGAAGATTTTTTTGCATTGCACTCATCCCTAATCGTTTTTATACAAACAGGTGTCAAATGAAACATCATTTAATTAAGGGGCGCCCATTCACAAGTAAATTGAAGCGCTAGGTTGACAGGCAATTTGTCGCGCGCCATTTGACGGTCAGTGCCACGAATTACATCAATTGAATCAACGCGTTGTACTTTGAGACATTCAAAGAGTTTGTTTGTTTATTAGCCTCAACTGATGTGTGTCACCACTGAGTGCAGTAATTTTTATAATCGTCAGTCTAACGAGAGTCCTTTTCAAATGCACCGCAACGTTCCCATTAGTGCTCCTAACCACCTTTTTTAGGACCTTGTAAGTCGGTCAGGCACCCTGTCTATAACTCTTGTGTTAACAGCTATTTCATATGACAGTAAATTAACCCATATACCTTTTTGATGGAATGAGGTAAACAAAGAAGCAGGGTTTGTAAACTTTTTTTTTTTCAGAAATTTATAACAAAAGTTTAATGATTGTCATTATTATTTCTAGTTCTATATAAATAATAAAGAAGGGATTGTGAATAGGCCTACAGTCGATATTTGGTGGGTCTTAGTGGGTGATAAGGTTGCTTATATTCAATAAACAGCCAACTAGAGTTGTTATAACTTCCATATGCTATGCAATATAGTTTACTTTGACTATTATATATGGTACCACAGACGGGTCTTTCATTACCTCGAGTTTGGATTAATAAATACCCTTAAATGTTAAGGAAACAAAAATGGAACTTCTGAAATTAGTAACTTTGTCATTACAAAGTAGTTTAGGCTTGTACTACTACTACAAATAGTCAAATTATTAAAAATAGTTATTTTTACAAAACATTTGGCGAACTTCGCAACCCACTAGAGCCAGCATCGGGTGTATCCATCTTCAACGCACTTCACTAAACGTAAGTTAATATAAAGAACTACTAGCAATACAGTTGAACAGAAAACAATAAAAACTCAGCAATTCAAGACTATAACAAAACCAACAGTGGTAAGGTAATGCGACCAATTTAAATATCAAAAACGTGAAACACTTCTTATCGTGATACACGATCATGTTTATTTAGTCGTGTTAAGTTACGTTTAAAACGTTCCGTTTGTTTACTTCCTCTGCTTCTTCGTGTCTATTATCGTGCAGTATTTGTATGAATGATTACAAATATAATATTTTGGCCTATGTTCAGCAGTGGACGTCTTTTGGCTGAAATGATGGTGATGAATAATAAATTACCAATGTTTCATTATGTAATAATTTAAATAAATATTTTCTAAGTACTTATTTTGTTATTTATTAATAAGATTGAAATGCATTTCCGTGAAAATAAAAGTAATATTTTTGGCAATTATCGAATGAGTTTACATTCCCGTGATATATCGTGCTCAATAAAAAACCTCTTTGATGCAATTTCTAATGCTAAAAACAACGAAGTATAGCTGTGGCGAGTTATGATAATTGTCGTTAATAAAGCCGACCCAAAACAAAAACTTCTTTTGATGTTAAAAAGGCGCCTTGCGACACCTAAACACAACACTTATTAAGCACACAAGATACTATATTATCGCAACCTTCATTTCACTGATTAAGTTATTCTACAATTAAATTGAGTTCTGTAGTAAATTACTTTAAAAACAACATTCCTATCACGACACTGAAAGCAAGTGTTGCCATTTTAATGTTTTATTGCAACTACTGATTACATATGACACGAACTTCTACATTCTTTAGGTAGCCCAAATAAAATAAAACATCCAAACGTTCCATTTTCGTATAACTATTTATCGTTTATCATTTACAAAATACTAATTAACCATTTTATAGTAATATGTTTTTAATTTATTATAATAATATTGTTATGTTATTTTAAAAAGTTTTGCAGCTAGCAAAGATTCAGACATTGAATTAAAACAAATCAGAATTTAAAAATAAACCGTATAAATGTTGAAATAAAGGACAGGTGACTACGCATTTATTATTAAATATTTTGAAATTTTAAATATAAGTTTTTTTGAGTGGAAGGCACAGTGTGCGCACATATGTGCGCTGTCTAGTAGTCTTTTGATTAATTCGTGGACTTTAAACAAGCCCGTGGCAATCGAGTTGTATGGACACCTCGTCTCTGCAATCTAGTGAAAATTCGCGACTTAAAATAGAAATACCACATTTTCCCCCATATGACAGGCTCCTGCGTTTAATTGTATATGACCAACTGTTGTTGTAATATTAAGATAAAGTTAAATTTATTGAATTTCACGACGTTTTACTATCACGATGCATAGTTATTTTTTGTGAAATGATTTCACTAGTTTGTTACAATTATCAATACAAAGATCAAACAGTAAAAAAAAATTTCGATCCGGCTAGATTCGAACCAGCAGCTTCAGCATACTACTATGGCTTGAGCACATTTCAGTTGTTATTTCCAGTATATTTGTAATTATCCCCATTCTCACCATCGTCGACCATTTTAACGGCGCTGTCGTTAGTCATAGTGGTGTCGAAGTTGGCCATCAGTGGCGCGATGAACTGCGTGGCCGCCAGCCAGTTGTGCACGTGCTCGCCTGTGTAGATAAAACCGCCGGTCGCGACCGTGATATTCTGAATCATGTGCCCGTAGAAGGGAAATTCGAAATTCAGCTTTAAAGTCTGTAACAATAACATAACATTTACAAAAATCGACAAAAGCATGACAAGACTAATAGGTAATAATAGGTCTAGCCGAAGGCAACATTTGTTTTCGGTGCCCTCTACTACAAATAATGTGTCATATAATAGTCCTCTTATACGCCTATGCAGACAGTATAATGTCTTATCTAAAGATCTCGATGTATTCCACCAGAGCACTAACACATTCGTAAAAATTATAAAGAAGCATGACTGTGCCGTAACACGCGAACACCACACAGAGTGAAATATTTTCTTTTAAAGTATATCATTGTTTATAAGACTTAGATAGCCATATATAAATTTTAAATGTTATTTCAATGTGCGCGGTTGTTATTGAGATATAAATTTGTTTGTTTTTGTTATAGTGTTATGGTTTTAGGTGTATTGTATAATTTGTATCTTGTAACTGTGCCAAAATAAATAAATAAAATAAAAATAAAATAAAGACTATTTAATTCACTTTACTGCGCATTTTGTAATGCGCATTGGATACTATCGCCCACAAAAAGAGTACGGAAAATTAAACTTCACACAGTAAACGTACAACCTAGAAACAATGCACTTAGTTCCATTGTTAACGTTAATTCTCCGAGGGCACGAGGCATTCGTCTCGTTTGATTAGCTATTTACCGACAATTTATATACCTATCTTTACATACATTTTGTTAGCAAATATTTGACACCAGTTACTTAGGCGATTACGGCATTTAATATTAATTTATTAATAGGATCAATGCGTGGCCGCCGCTTTAAAAAAAAAACACATTAAATTGAAAATTGGTGGATCTTCTTCAACCCCTTTTATCACTTTTTACATTACAACATAAAGGTTTATTTAGCACGTGCATCCAGGCATCAATCAAAAATAAAATGCCTTTTTTTTGACATAACTTTACAGGGATTATTTTTATTTATTTTATTTATTATTTTATATAACCCTGTGTCGCGGGTGCCACGGATTGTGAATTACACACAAACTCACGAAAGAAACAAATGTAGGCCATACAAATATTTCTCCCGGCTCGGGAATCCAACCCGGGACCTCTGCGTGGCAGGCAAACAGGGTAACCGTCGTCCACGGAGGCAATAATTAAAAATGTTAAATCTCGAATGATAATAAATATACAATACATGTATATTGTCATTCGGTCATTCACCAAACAATACGTATTCTATACAACCTACATTAGTAGAACCCAGTACATGCGCACTGCTCATGGGTCTCCTACAGGGGGCGAGGTTTTAAATCCATCAAACTGACTCACCGCGGTATGAGAACTTAATGATGAGAAAAACTGAATTTTCCCATGATATTTTACATCGTCATTAAAGTAAGAGATATCGAAACTGTATGTGATTCGGACACACATGGCCGGATTCAAACTTTGTCCTCATATCGCGTTCTCCAAAGTAGTTCATGACGCGGTACAGCTATAAAGGGTGAGTCACTCACAGTGGCTCTGCGATGCGAATTGCTGAGCACGGCGTGAGCGTCGGCTTTCTTATTAGTGATGTTTTTCCAATACTCGTTAAAGTATGTCACGTTGCCGATGAATGAGCTGCTGTAGAAGTCGTGCTTGTCCTGTTGACAACATTTATTAACATTCAGGAATCCATATACTACGTATATAGTAGACAAAAATTAGCCACCTAAATCACATGGACATCAAAATTAGTCAATCGCGAAGTTTGACGTTAAAGTGAAGAGTCATGTCAGGACGACTAGAACTCTTTGTTCTCGGCGTCGGATGACTACGAAGTAATTTATAACTAAAACGACAATGAGTAAAGTATGCTGCAGTATGTACAGGTGTCGCATCAGAATGACGCATGTATGGTGTATGTCTTCTTCCTAGAAGTATCGGTATAAATACCAACATATTTACTTACATACTGCAAGTTCGTAGTGTTATCCTGCGCTTTTACTAGTCCTGGATCTTGCTTAATCAGGTCAGTGATATCTGGAAAAGAAAAAAAAATTGAATATAATGAAATTAATAAAAAAGGCAGTCATAATCGTGAGTGTTCATTGTAGACATTGCGGGGTTTTTACAGATAAAAAATCGTTATTTTCCTTATATCGTTATTTACCGTATTTTCTCAAACTCGTATCTTAAGCACAAAAGTTACTGAAATGCAAAAAAATAAATAAAAGTTTTGCCATCTCTTTGTAAAATACGAGTTTGACAAAGTAAGACATCGAAATGTAGAAGTAACGATTTTATTTTGAATATCCATCCAATTCATTGCTAATGAAGTATTCAAAATCATACATGTCGAAATCGTTATTTCGACATTTTGTTAACGGTAAAAACCCCTTCAACAGTAATGAAGTATTCAAAATGAAATCGAAAAACTGTAAAAACCAATTTTTTTTTTATTCTCTATTATCTATCAAACCTTGCAAAGTTTGATAGAGAATAAAGTGAAAACAGACTTTCACTGTCGCGCTCGGCCACGGGAAATGAGCTGATCAGACACGCTCAGATATGGGCAGTGGCTTACAACCTAATCAACCCGACCGGGTATTAACCGGATTTTTATACGGATACGGAATTTGGTACAATTCCATAGCAATAATTACAAATTTCGATATAAAAATCTTTATTAAACGATAAAGACAACATCACACAATACCCACCTTGCAATCCTGTGGATTCTCGATACTATTTATGCATAATATTACGGTTCGACTTTATGAAGATCGATTCAAGTGCATACGATCTAACGACTTTTTGTATCGATTTATTTCAATGCGATTTTCAAGCGATTTCAGCAAAAAGGCAAATCAAGTCTTCTGGATCAAAAAGCTTTTTGTAATAATATCATTAAAATTGAACAAAACTCGATAAAAATACTCGTTGTAAACACTTTTTGCCCTTTTTTTCGGGCATTAGGTTTTAACCTGATTTAAACCTGACGTTAACAAAGTGTCAGACGCTTGCCCAACTCTACGTCAATCGGAATAAAACATTTAACCATCAAACAATTCATTGTAATATAAACACACACAGTTAAAACTTGTTTGTTTTGTGAATCGTGTATTTTTCTTACCGCGTCAATATTTCAGTAGGTTACCAACTGCACACATGATAAACAAACTTAGCAATTCAGTCCACTACGGTCTTCTTAACTCATGTCCAGCAGGCAGTCGTTTAGCCTTAGTAATTTAATATTTTGTAGCTATCTAAAACGCATGATGCCCCCTGCTTATCAATATATTGTTGATTATTCGCAGCACACTGAACTAAACTGTTTGTCACAAGAACGTCTTGTTAGACCTATCTGATACAATGACATTATGACCCAAAATAACACTTAAGAATATTATCGAAGGCTATAATATTCTATTCAGTCTAAATATGAACGCTGTTTACTGTTTTTTTTAATAGTAATGTAACTGGTTAAGGGCTAATTTAGATAAAGCACAAGCGCATTTTTTGGCTGAGTTTTAATTATTAGTTCAACATTGACCAATGAAGTTAGTCACAGGTAGTACAAAAAAGAACAATATCGGCGGGCAAATTTGAAACCCTCTTAACTCCGTTTCTGGACGAAATCCTTCTTTTACTCTTCAAGCAATATTAACGTGTAAAATGTAATTTGTACATCTGTAAGTTATAAAATAAAGGTAAATCATAGTGTCGTATAATTATTTATAGAAATACTGTTTACTAATTTTTGCTCTATGTAACGTCATTACACTCTGTAGCAAGTGCTGAAAGTCACAGTAAAAACGGGACATTAATTGAGCTGGGGGCACACAGATGGGTCGCTGGTGAAGATAGAACCCTGCAACTGTACAACTGTACTGTTACCATTTTCGTCGTCAGCGCTTACTTCGATAAGAGCGAATAGGGTAATTCCCGCCCGTGTGGCACCGACACTTCACTTGAGACTAGGCTCTGTTACATCACTATCTTATTTGTACCTAGTGGTTATAAACATAATTAAAAAACAATAGACGTTTATTACAGTATTCCCGTGTTATATTGAAATAACCTTTGTTAAACGCCGCAGGTACTTACCAAGCTAGGTACGTACAAACCAAGTGACGGGACGAAAAAGCCGAGCGCCTGGTGATAAGCGACACGCCTGTCCATAACAGTTGCAATGCTAAACAGAGCTTTACATCATAAAGATCTTAGGGGCACTGCCACCGCTCTTGTCACCCTGAGACATAAGTTGTGAACTCCCATGTGCCTGTACTTTCACCAGCACCCACACACACCCTTCGAAATCGGAACGCAATAATGGTCCAATACTGTTTGGCGGCCGAAATAAGTAAGGTGGCAGTACTTCTCCGGACGAACTCTTTCACGAAGAGCTCTACGCCTACTAATAGATTATGGACTATGAATATGAAATAGAATAATAATAATAATAATAACGCACACACTCAACATAGCCCCGCACTAGGGAAACCCTGTGTCGCGGGTGCCATGGACACACACATAGACAACCACAAATTACACCCAAACTCACGAGAGAAATAAATGTAGGCCATACAAATATTTCTCCCGGCCCGGGAATCGAACCTGGGGCCTCTGCGTGGCAGTCCGGCATGGTAACCGTTCGGCCACGGAGGCAGAGAAATGGGTGCTGAACAATTTTCTAACTACCACAAACTCAAAAATTAACACGTCTACAATTTAATGTATTTTTTTATGGACGACACGCGCTATGCAACGCAAGTGCACTGCGCTGCTACCTTGGTTACCTTTCATATTTTAATCCTAATAAACTCTATGCCACAAAAGAAACCGACAACTCACACAAAGATTTCAGGAAAATTTTCCTTGCTGGATCGCGTAAGACCCGGTGCGTGGCAATATAATAAAGTTAATAACGTTAACGCAAAATATATTAGGCCTGAATCAGGTTGTAGTGAAATTCGAGAGACATTTGCTCTGCCTGCAATGGGATTAGGCCCATTAAAAGTAGCCATCGATTCGTTGCAAGTGATCGTTTACAGCCCATTAGGATATCGTTACTCTCAATTGTCAACATAATTAGTACCTAAGCGTTTTCTAATTAGGTACTAAAGTCTATGAACACTGACCGTTTACGTTCACTCCACAATCGAGAACAAGTGTTAGTTATCTCTGAGGGAACACTAAACTTACCCAAATGAGTATATACAAATTCGTTATGAAAAATCATTCCAACTAGGTATATGTCGTGCAAGAAAGAAATCTTCCGGAGGACGTATTCATTCTTTTACTGTACGCCCGGAGCAGCCTGGGTTACAATCGGTACCGCGTACCGTATGCCAATTGGCAAATCCATTCTTCACGGAACCATTATAGTGTACCCGGTGTGTTATCGGTATATCGGATATGAAGATTCCAACTAGAGACAAATTCGTATGGGTCCCTAATTTCTAATCAGTTACACGACGCGAAAGATTTCGCGCGACAGCCGCGCGGCGATCGCCCAGTTACCATGCTTTCATGTACATTTATGGCGAATCTGAATTCAATTTACTACTCAACAATATTTAAATTCCTCTGTATAATGCAAACGCGCGGCCGCCGTGTAGACCACATTCAAGCCAGACTCGTCCGCGCACCCGGGACGCTCATCTAAGTTAAAACGTAAAACCTAAATATGTAAATAGAGCGTGTTTTGCTATAACAGTTACATAGATTCACGCGGTCGCTGCGCGGCGGAAACGCGGACTCCTCGCGGCGATCGCGCGGGGCGAGCGCGATAAAATTCGATCCCGCCTACGTAGAATGGTAAACCCAAATTTACAACATTGCAATGGCCTTGATACATACGCATTACTTTTCATGCTTTGTGATTTTACTGCTGAGTATAACAGATCAAGATGCAGCAGGGACTTACTGTCGTCAGGGTAGACGGGCTCGTTGACGTTCAACCTTATGCCGGTACCGTTGCGGCCCAACAGTGGGATCTGCGTGACCTGGACGACTTGTGTCGTCGTCGAACCTGCAAATTTACAATGCATTTCTTAACGCTAGGTCTCATAAAAAAGCAATTTGAACACACACAATAAGAATTTACATTTTCAAAGTTTACACATAACTAGGATAACAGATATTGAAAACAACTGCTAAATCTCGACATTACCATAATGTACATTATTAATTCGACACAGGCATGCTCCTAAATATATATGAGTTACCACATTAACAGAACGCAAACATCTACTAGCAGAACATATTTGTAAATGTCAATTGGTGTCGAAGGATTTACAATTATGTCTACCATTTAAGTGGCATTTCGATGGATTTTCAATCGCTTTCGCATATTTACAATATTTGAAGTTGTACATGTAAACAATCGCATTTATAGCAAATAACGCAACCCATAATCAAATAAGTTCGCAAGTTTTAGAACAATAGCATAATTATAATACTTACATAAGAGGTATTTAGATTTCATAGAAATATAGCCAGTAAACATGTTACCGTCATTGTCTTTGATGACATCTTAATATATTAATAAGCAATAAAAATGTAAAAGATTTGACAATATGATAAATGGCATTGTTTTGTTGTTATTTATGTTATTAGGGAATTCATAACAAATTGTACATCATTGTTATTTGATGAAAGCATTATGACATTACACGAGGCATCCATACGCCAGTCACGTTTTAACATAGCTAATTACAATACCCACTACATATTTAGTATAGCAACTATATGTACAATATGACGCGTACTGCGTAGCAAACATTCCGCCATAATTAATTACCACAACCAGCAGCAAAGTGAAACGAAGTACGATTCATTTTGTTCTGTATTCAATCTACAATTTTAAAGAGACATTTCATTTAACAAAAACGGCCGATAGCGTGGCGTACACGCTCACCAATAGGGTTCTGTACCAGATAATTCAGTTGAACCACATTCTATTTCATCTATATTTTGTATGTAATAAGAGCTACTATAATTTGAAAAAACGTGTGATATACAAATGTCATTTTTAAAACGTTGATTGTTCTGGCTGCCTGGTCTGTCTTAATTTTGATTAAAAGCACTGTCTTACAAAATTTGTATACCGGAATTTTTAGGATTTATTGCAACCGTAGTTAAAAAGTTGAAGGCTTCAATAATTAGTGAAGTTAATTTAAAATTTACTTATAACCTTGTGAACAAGCTCAGCGTAGGGTGAACAAAAAATATCTACACAATCAAAGCTAAAATTGACAATATTACGACAACAAAGTCACCATTTTGTAGTAGACAAAAGAGAAAAATCGCTTTGGTAATTTGTGGAAACGTACAGAACAGCAGATGCGTTGATGATGTACCAAAATTGGTACAGTCATAATATCTTTCACTGTTAAAATGAAAGGCCAACAAAACAGATTATATATATGTATGTGACATAATTATATATGACGAATATGTGATAAAATTGTTACAACATCTATGCACAGGATCACTGTGGCGGGTTGCGGCGCTAACGCGACTATAAGTCACGTTTCGAGCGGGACAATTAATTTTAAGCTGCATGTTCCGCAGTCCCCAAAATATTTAATAATGGCCCGCTTTGACAAAACAGGACACACGTGACTTTAATTTTTTTTGAATGGCACGAAAGTGAAAAATATATAACAGCCCACTAAACACCTTTCCTTAAAATAGAATCTAGAGTTGATGACGACTCCCTGCTGCGAAGAGAGGGTAAATGTAAGTTAAGCTCCCTGATATGGGAGACATTTCGAATAGTAGATGTCTACTGATATATTATTTGTAGATACTCGAGTGTCTGTATACGAGACGTAACATCAATTACGCACCAGGATGTTGAACAAACAAGAACACTGTGTTTAAACAACTTATTGCAATAACAGATTTCGCATGAGCGGATTATTATCACGATCTATTTTTATGAATTTTCCATTACCTTGCAAAATTATTGTTCCACATTTACACCATTTATAAAATACAGATGTGTAAAATCCATATTTCCTATCACGCCATTTTGTTAAAAATAATGGTATTTTAAAATACCAAATTTGTAATTGGTAAATGGTATTTTAAAATACCATTATTTTTAACAAAATGGCGTGATAGGAA